TTCACTTCCAATGAATGAAGATGATATAAAACACTATGTTATGTTGACTTACATATTGTGATGACCTGATCATATGTTACTCATGTAACACATTTTAAAATCAGCTATTCACTGTTTTATTTTACTAACATCAAGAGTTGATTTATGTAATGAAAAACGATGGAACAGAGCAATTTCTTTTAACATCACTGCTTCTTCATGTATTTATGGCCTTGTGTTAAACAGTCATTTAACCACATCCCAATGTCCTATTTTGAACATTATGAAAACCCAAAGATAATGTATTTTGATGACTTGTAAATCCCAAAACCTGCTTATTTATACCATGAAATCTGCCTTCACACACGTGGTTCTGTCTATGTTTATATTTCAAAACATAAACATCTATTCGTTGTTTTGGCTCGACTTTAAGAGGATTCTGTGTGGACGTGCAAACGCGTTGAGCCAACGACAAGGGAATTATCAGATAAATGCAGTAATGGGATGAGTGTAAAAGGGTCAGGGACGGTCATAACCCCATTAACAACACAGAACACCAGTCCAACCAAAATTGGGTTAAGTAGACTAAAACGCCTGAAAGCCAGGGAGAAGTGGAGTGGGCTGCACTCCTCTTTTTCTCTTCACTTTTCATTTTGACGCCCCCCTCCCTTCCTGTCTCTTTGTTGTGCTGTTTGAGGTTATAACGCCAGTCTTGCCCCCTTCCTGACCACTCTCTTTCCCCTCTTTTTCTCTATTTCCTCTCTCCTCCCACTCTCCGTCAAAGCAGGCTTGTCCGGAGCACTGAGGTACCTCTGTTCTGCGGCTCAGGAAAAAAGATGAGAACAGCAAAGAACTTTCCAGCAACACACTGCTGTGATTTTGTGTCCATGTCTATAAGCACTTTTTATTTTTGGGAGGTGTACATTGTGTGTTTTCTCACCTCCTAGTGTTACGTTGCCGTGCAGAAAGCGGCCCTGGTAGATCAGCCTCAGGATGATAGGACTGCTGACCTGCTCTTCCTCCCAGTCTGAAAGAAAAAAGGGGCAAAGAGAGAGTTAAAGAGAGAAATCAACGAAGAGAAAAACAGGAAACACGCTTCATATACTTTCTTCACTCTGCTTATCCCTTGCTAAGTTTTCTTCCTGATTGCCATTGCAAGTTTGTTTGTCTTGACTGCCATTTATTTACCGGTAATCTATTTCCCATAAATCATCCTTATATAATCTATCATCTCTAAACTGAGAACATGCAGGTTCAATAAAGACATTTCACAACCTTTTGTATCGCTACCTGTAAAAACCACAAAATGAGTTTCTTATTAAACATTGCTAAAATGTTGCCAATCTCTAGTTTGACAAAAGGACACGAGGGGTTATGAGCTGTTACAGTAAATTCAGTGGATATGCATCAACAGTGCAATGAAAAGGAATAATTGCATGGTGAGAGAAAAAAGACCACCAACAACCGCAGTGCAGTTATTTTTAAATCACTTTAAAGCCCTTATTTGAAATCATTACTTGCAGAATGTATAATGTGTGGGCTTTGTGGGATGTATAACCGAATGTGAGAAAGAAGGAGAGCAACAGAGGAACAAGGGGTGTGGCCTGGGAAGAGCTACAGACAAAAAGTGAAGAAATAAACCCGAGAGCAAACAGTGGGGGGAGTTGCACAGCAGCAGCGTCTGGCCACCAGATGTTTGTCTCCATCTAAACGGAGGGTGTTGGTGCTTACAGTCTCACAGGGTTCAGATCTGTTGTCTGGCAGGAACACTTTTTGATCTGACAGGACTGGAAGGGAAACTGCTCTTGTCAAGGAGGATATGAATCCACCAGTAAAGTTTATAGTGTTTAAATGCCTCTCTAAAACTAGACTACATTCACAGCAACAGGTGTTCAGATGAGATCGGTAGTATCAAATGATTTGTAACACTGTTGCAGTTGGGAGTTACTGTAAATCCACATTCCTGTATGCAATGATAAGCGTGCGGAAAGGAGGAGCACACAAATGACTCTTAACCAGAGACCACATGTTCCCACACTGCTCTATAGAACTACATTCTACTCTATTTGAATGAGATCTCAGCTCTCTGGATAAGCCAACCAGCTGCTTGTATCTTCGTCATACAGCCAGGATGAGTCAGATCACCTGGTTTCCAAGAGCATTAGCAGCTAATTGGTTAGCAATTACACTTTAAGCAAACACACTGGAACTATGCTTATGCAATAACGTGATTTATTACAAAATAACACCAATATAGGACAAAGTGCACATAGTGTTTTCTTACTAGAAAGCTCATGCATTCGATGGGTTGAAGAGACAAGGCAAGTTTAAATATTCCATCGCTGAAAACCTGGTGTCAAAACAGACGCCCTTGATTATTGTTTTACAACCTCTACACCGGCCCAGCCCTATGGAGGAGGCTTTGGGGAAAATAAAGAAATAATAGTGATGAGAATCACAAATAAATCATTGTCTGATCAAAGAGGAAGAAATATGTGGATCACCTAAGGAGGGTTTTATTGCCTTCACCTTGGGACCACACATGTTGATGTAACTGCTGCTAGATCTTCATCAACTGCCATTGCCAGAAGCAAAGACAGGATATTTAGATGGAGCTGCTACTCACCCATCGGCCAGTTGTCATACACGTGTTTGGCAATGTCCGCTGCTGAGTCGTTGGGAGAGAAGAGGAACTCTTTCGTCTTCCCGCTGACTAAAATGAGCCGCAGGTTTATCTGTAAAAAAACAAAATATGCAGGTTAGACTCAGTCATGTCAGGAAGCATACAGGTTCAAGAGAGGTAATTTAATAGGACACAGAGGAAGGATATGAGGACCCTGAGGAGTGTCCCTCCGCTGGATTATCTCCCTTCTGTCTCGCAAACTTCCTCCTACATTTTTTCTCATGCCTCCAACACTCTGTTTCTTTGTCTTCAGTTCACAATTCGGTTACTTTGACAATTCCCAAGGCAGATGTTTTGCTTTGAAATGTTCCTTTGTCTGAGGTTGAAACTTGATGTATACTTTATTCACCCGTGATCAAAAAGCATTGTTCACTATAGTCACCCAGGTTTGAATAGCATCTGATTTTAGAGGGTACATTCTTCAATTAAATATTCATTTTTTTTCTGTATCACATTTTCAAGGTTGTTGTACTGGGTAATAAGTACCCGTTAAACGCCTTGGGCTTGCAGGCATACTGTATAAACTAAGATTCTGATCATTTATGAATGAGACGGTGGGATGTATTTGTAATTTCGACAAAACCAAACTTGGCTCTCACTGCGTGTAAAAAGCCCACAAAACACAAACAATTAGCTGAAATACTACACGCTGTTCAAATGTGTATCCTGCCACAAATAGCTTATCTCAATAGTCAGTGGTGACAGCCAAGTGGAATAATAAATCACAAATAGTGTGAGACTAATGCTCACAGTGTCCAAGTCCTCTCTCAGCTACTGAACAGTAGCAGGTTGTCATTATAGGGTCTACTGCATTACTTATGTGGTGGGGGCACACTTTAAGATGACTGAAACAAACAACTTTGTACAAAACAGCACAGCTGGCTGTATTTTATCAAAATCATTTTAAATAAAGAGAATAGGGAATCAAACAGAATCTATTTAAAGGAGATAAGTGGATTTTGAGGGATGAGTAGGGCAACGAGGACTTCAAACTGTTCAGTGAGAGCTGGAGGTGAGTGAACTTTAGCTAAACGTCACATCTCTGTGTGCACCTCTCACCTTAAATCACTTCTTTTTTTTCCATCTGATGATTCAATACTAGGTTAACAGTTTGGTTAATAAATTCCCTTAAAATCCAAGATAATGTTGTTTTGTCAGTCCATAAGCCTAATATAATCTGTTTTATATGATATTTAACAGAAAAAAACAGATATTTTTAATATTGGAGAGGCTAATAAACGTTTTTTTGCTTTAAAAAAAGATTATAAATGTTGATTGTTTATCAAAATAATTCGTTTTTCTGTCAAAGACTAATCAAGCTCCTAATCCTAGTAAAGATTAAGATGAATACATTTCATGAATTAGCTTTTTGCATTTTAAACCATTAAATGCATCAATTGTCAGAGTTTATCTCTTGACTGGCTTGATGTGTTTAGCACAGGTACAGTTTTCCTTTAAGAGCCACAGCAAAGCTCCGTGTGTTTGATTTAGCTTTCTATAAGTGTCTAGCCTGCAGTGCATGCATGGCATAAGCACGTGTGTGTCATTGTCTCTAGTGTGTGTCCATGTGCAGCGCGTCTGTTGCCCAGTCTGCTGAGCGACACACACACGTAGACACACACACACACACTCGCACACAAAGTGATGTAACAGAGCAAACACCGACGCATTGAAACAGACATCTCTGTAAGCACCTTATCAAATCAGATTATAGGTTTAAGACTTAGACTTAGAGGTGTCCCGATCCGATCACGTGATCGGGGATCGGAGCCGATCACGTGATTTTCAAAAGATCGGAATCGGGAGGAAAAAAATCGGGGATCGGGATTTTTTTTCTTTTTTAATTTTGTATTCAATGTTACAAAACAAAATTGACCATGTTCAAGTCTTAAAGTCATCCTGAGGCCTTAGTTTTGGTTTCAAATGACAGAACATCATGTATGTGTTGCTTCTTTGGGGCTTGTTTTCATAGACCTGGTTGCTTATTTCTCTCAAATCTGTCAACAGAGTGGGCGCAGTGTCTAATTGTAGCAGTAAGCTAACGAGTACTGACAAGCTTGATTTTGTTTTGATCCAATGCTGCACAACTGAACTGATCCAATGCTGCTGTGAAAGAAAGAAGCTATATCCATGTTGGATAGAATATCCAATTTAAATAAAAAAATAACCTTAAGGGACAACTTGAATGCTTTTTTTTCTCTTAATGCATTGCATAAAGATCGGATCGGGAAAAATCGGTATCGGCAAATTGTCAAAATCAAATGATCGGAATCGGATCGGGAGCAAAAAAAGGTGATCGGGACATCCCTAGACTTAGATGAGAGATGAGACTTTTTGAGCTTCTGTTTTAGTTTTTATATGCATGCATCATAATATTGAGGATCAACCTGATATAGAGCTGCAGTATTTCGTGGACTTATCGATTAGTTGATCCACAAAACTCCTCCGGTAATCAATAAATTGTTCAAGTCATTTTTCATGGGTTTTGGAAATGCAAGTCGCTTTACCTGTAGTAAATACAACCGCCTTCAATACAAGCAAAACCTGAGAAACACTGAATGAGATGAAGACATAAAATAATGAGGAAACACGCAGAGGTAGCAGAAGGTCTTCCTTCACCCCGTCTCCACACCTGGTCGTTACCATGGTGTTACTATGACGACAGCCAGTCGTGGCTGGCTTAACCTGATAACACCTACCAGATAGCTCCACCCCTCCTCCCTTCTGCCTCCTTACCGTTTCCTACAGTGTCACATCACATTGTCTTCCTCGCCTTGCAGCAATCTCCGCATCCCCTCCCTCCCCCACTCTGTCTCTCTCTCCCCCACTCTGTCAATCTCTCGCTCTGCACAGCATTCAGTGGAGGGTTTGTACAAGGCCTGAATAACAAAGAGAGAGGACTGAACTACAGTAGCTTCAATTAAACAACATAAACTCAGCATTCCTCTCCCTATCATTAACCCTGCAAAATCTCTTTATTTGCTTCACGCCCCTTCTCCATCTCTCTTTGCTTCCTCTACTCTTTCAGGTGATAGGTCATTTACTTCCTAAAGACAGGTGACATAAATAACCCTTAATGGAAAGACACAAATACAGATGCTTTCAGACAAGGTGCAAAGATCGAGAATGATGTCATTTGTATTAAATGGTGAACTATGACCTTCATAGTTCACCAGCTTTAATACCTACAGGGGGTACTAGTCACCAGCAGCGTTACAACTCAAATAGAGAAGAGACATTCAGGATCATTGCCAGGAAACACTGAAGCTGTTCTATTGGTTAACGGCGGGCCAACACAAGGACACTTTGTTCATATTTTTGTCTTGTAATCTGTGTCTGGACAGGTGAGCTTTTAACATCCATTTTCCGTCTCTTTCGTCCCTTCAACATGTATTTTGATTGTGATGTTAACTGAATCAAGGCATTGGTCTCTCCTGCTCTTCTCCCTCTCCCTCCCCCCTTCTCCCTGGTGGTCCATGTGCCTTCTTTCTCCCTTGACTCTCTTCCGCACCGGGGCTGATAATGAGGTTTCACTGTCAGCTCAGGGATGTATATTCAATTACTGTTTATATTCTGTAGAACAAACACAACAGCTGCAGGTATTGGGGGGGGGAGCATTGTTTCAAGCATTCATGCATAACCATAACTATACAGAACATACACATATCCGCAGGCAAACCGCCAGTTACTCTTGCTTCATAAACAGCACGTACTAGCTAACAACCAGTCTCTCTCTGCACTCATGATGCCAGACAAGCTGGAGGTTTTACCAGTTTGCAGAGCTTGGAGAACTGCAAGATGTCAGATTGTTTGTAAAAGGAAACATCATGGTGCCCCAGCTTCTATTCATGTCCACTTCTGAAAAGAAATGGAATAAATGAAACTACTTGTGTATGAAAGTGGTGACACAGCTTCCTGTCTCCACTGCAGACATTCAAAAACATGCCTACAATAATGTGGCCCTGCTGCCAAGTCGTGCCATGGTGTAAACATGTGAAGTAAGCAAACCCTCTCGGCTAAACACTGTTTGCACACGGTGGAGAGCAGGAAATTCAATGCCATCTATAATTATTCCTCCTTGAGTACCACTCTCAAATCTTTCTCAAGGCAGCTGGTGTGTGTGTGTGTGTGTGTGTGTGTGTGTGTGTGTGTGTGTGTGTGTGTGTGTGTGTGTGTGTGTGTGTGTGTGTGTGTGTGTGTGTGTGTGTGTGTGTAGAGGTGTAACAGCCTTTGGTCACTCTTTATAGTTTTTCAATTAAGGTAAACACAGAGTAGGCGGTGCGTAAAAGCTCTTTGAGCGCTGGAGCTGCTCTTCT